TCAGAATCAGAATCATTTTTATTGCCACGTAAGTGACAGGAAGTCACAGACTTGGAAATAGCTTTGGCTCAGTGCAACAGTCAGAAAGAGATAATCAAAATAAAGAATAAAAAACACTTCTAAGGAATACATTTAAATTTAAAATAGAGTTACAGTTACTATTTACAATATACAAGTGCACATGGTGCACACAATGTAAGGTGACAGCTGTAAGGTGAATTAAAGGACAGCCAGTCGGACGTTGACCAGCAAACCAAGATATGTAAACATGCCCTCCTTAGCAGGACCCATCTTAAGCACATCTAAGAGACGACCAGGTCAACCAGAGGACGTCATCGGTCACCGAGACCATAAGTGTCAACCAAGGCAATAAACCGAGCCCCAGAACAAACATCTTTGTGCCTTTCTGCCTGGCAGAGATCAGAGATCAATAATCTGCTCTCACTCCCGGGACATTCCACGGCTCTGAGATAATCTGTGACTCACCCACGGTGCTATGGCGCCCCCCAGCGGACACGGAACACTATCACACCCGGGACGGACATTTTAAACAATCACCCGTGAAGCCATTATTCGGATAACCTGTATTGTGCCCTACACGTGTGTATCGTTATCAGTAATGTAAATGCGTTGTGCGCCTGTACATGTGTTATGAATGTTGGTATTAATCCTGCATCTGATTGTGGATGTCTGCATGATGTGTTTTTGCCTTGGGACATGTTGGTCCAGAGAGACGCACAAGGATGACGTCACGGACGCGCCCCCTTTAGAAGTCAATATAAACACACACAATGCAGCAGGACTTTCTCTTGGTTCTCCCTTGTAATCACTCTAGCAACTCTACCTTTTCGGTACGCGTCTCCTACGCGGCCTACGCCAGCCACTTTTGGGCCTGTACATCCACGAGGACAGCAGCCACCCCGCTGTTGGAGACAAGGACTCTCCATCGCCAGCCACCCTCGGGCTCCCTGGACACCCCACCGCAACATCATTCTAGACCGTGTTGTGTGCGGAACCCACGTCTGGATCCGACCTGCTGGCTTCCTCCTGCTCCCGTCCGGACAAAGGACACGTGGACGACACCCTCGCTTTTCCCATCTCCATTCTTCATTCTCATCCTCTCCACGGCCTTCCATCGCCCTTACCCCTTCGGACTTCTCAAAGTAAGACTGTTCCTTGTTGGAAGTGTGATTCGAATGATATGTATACAACCTCTGCTTAATTTGACCAGAAAACCCTTTTCGTTATATTTTCTATTTTCAATTTTTGTAGTCAATAAACCCCCGTTATCTTTAACTCATTCATTTCAGCGTCGTGTTTATAAGTCTTGGATATCCCTGGCCGATTTACGTACTCAAAACCATCAGATTTATGATACTGGTATTGAGGCATATTAGTTGGATCTGTGCAGAAGCTTTCAAACTCTGCTGGTGCCCAAAATAAAAGCAGATCCCCAACTCGTGTAGTACGGCGAGACTCTGATCTGGAGACTAGCCGCACTATACTACATTTTCATTTACCCCACGTATATGATCATCCTTAACAATTATATCTTATACATATATAGTTACGCTACAGTATATGGTGCCCTGTTTGTGAGATCCGCGCATATATCCAGGTTTATCAACTCTTACTCTGAAAATTTGACCGGAAACGCTAACTTGCTGTTGCTCACGCTCCCAGTGCTACCCCCCCACCTCCTCACCCCGCGCCTCCCCTGCGCTACCCCGTTGCTATAGTGATTCCAAAGCCAATTGAGCTCCCCCGCGCCCCGCTTGCGATAAAGCGACCCGTGCACGCACTAGACTATTTTATTTTAGTCTTAAAATCCCGACTTTGTATTGGGTACTACGCGACTCTACCACGTAACGCCCTGCTCGGCCAAGCAGGCGGCGTGTGTCGTGAAAGTCGCCTCACCTCTTATTTCCTTAACTATTTATATAGTTATAGCGCGTGTTCTCCGTGAAAGAGGCTCCGTCTTCCTCTTTACGCATTCAAATATGACGGGAACAGTGGGAGGAAGCTAGAAGTCCGACACATCGCCTGAAACCTGAGATTATTGGCTACAAGATGATTTGATTGACATCCAAATCGGCCAATGGTAGTCAAGACAATGCTGTCGTGACCATAGACATATATAGAATAGACGCCGCATTGGTTGCTCGGGCACGAGAAATACGGCCGCCATCTTGGACCGGTCATCCTACAGCGCGATGCCTGAACACTGTGCGGCGTATGGCTGTCAAAATAGGCGGACTATTCAAAACAGGGCTCGTGGGATTACTTTTCACAAGTAAGATTTAACATTATTATTGGTTGTACTAGTTTGTTAATGGAATATTACTGAATTGTATTTATGTTACCAACGAAATCAGATACAGAACATCTATTGAATAGCAAACAAGCTAACTTACAGCAGCTTTGGTTCATTATCAAAATGCGAGTTTTGTTGAAGAGATGTTCTATATTTGAAGGAGGAAAATGGGAAGAAGTAATTAGGAATAATAGGAATTATGGTAATATATATATATATATACATATTTTTTTGTTTGTTTTATTCATGTATTTGCATTTTGAAGGTTTCCCAGAGACAGAAATGGTAGGAAGAAGTGGGAAGTGGCTATGAGGAGGGAAGGATTCACTGCAAGTGATTCATCCGTGCTTTGCAGTGAGCATTTTAAGCAGGAAGATTTGGACAGGACAGGTCAGATTATCCGACTCAGAGATGGTGTTGTTCCATCCATCTTCAGCTTCCCGGTTCATCTCCAAAGAGTAGGTTTATCACCATAATGCTGTCAGCACTAATATATTCTATTATATAATATATATGTTATAATAACATATTACAAATATATATATAATTTCTTTTCAAGTACTATGTTTCTCCATTTTAGCCAGAAAAGGATGTATCTGTATATATATATATATATATATATATATATATATATATATATATATATATATATATGTGTGTGTGTGTGTGTGTATGTTTCAGTATTTCACTTGTTGAATAAATGTCCCTAACATTTTGTGAGTAGTGTATAGATACAACATTGTGTATTATGCAAAATTCCTGTCATACATCACATATATCATATATCAAAATATTCTATTACTGTTAAACCCACTATGAATATTAACATACGCCAAACCATGTGTCCTGTGTCATAGCTACATGTGTGTGGTTTACAGTAAAAAAAAAAGTGTGAAAATCAGTGAAGTATTCAGCGAGTTATGATTGATTAAATGCGCTGACTCGTCACTGCGCCTGCTAAACAGATTACTCTGAGAGGAGCGGGCGACCGGTCCAAGATGGCGGCGCTACGGCTCGTCGGCGCCGATGGACAGTAGCGGTAGATGCGGCGTCTATTCTATATATGACTATGGTTGCGACGCACAGATATCTATGTGAATGGAGCGCTAAAGCTAGGTGCGCTTGTTTTACTCAACTTACTCTACCTTCCAAACCATAGCACTGAAAAGTCCGGGAATGGGCTTGTTTTGAAGGGGAGGCTTAGGGAAACACGAACATACCCAGTGACGCTAGGTAAACAGTAAAATGTCCTCTTCATACAGTGCGCAAAGAACAGGTTTTGTTTTTGTTTGTGCAACTTTCAATACTCAAATATGTTGTTACAAGTGGATATCTACTATAAGGATGACTTTGAAGAAAAAACAACTGGATATAATTATTCTCTAGACCCTAAAGAACAAAACGAATGCACACATGTGTGGATTAGACGTGATTTGCCCCAGAATATTAGCATGACAAGGTAAGAAAGGACAATATATATTTTAAATATATATACAGTTAGACTACTTATTCTTAATTTTGGTTATATTTAATGTTTATTTGAACATTTGAACATAATACGCGTTTAGAGGTGGGAATAAGCTTTCAAAAGAGATATAGCTTGACTATATTGACACAAGTGAATTCTAATACTGATGCTGTTAAATGAAAAATAACTGAATCCTCCCTGTACAGGGAGGGTGATCCTTAAAAGGTTAACACTTTCTTCAAGAAGTATGTAGATTTGTGGTAAACCAAACTGGAAATTATGTGCTCTGTTCAGGTGGGGGTTAAGAGGTTAAATCGGATTATGGACAGATTACAAATAAGGAAGAGGAATGAAGAAAATGTGTGTCAAAGACAACACAGCGACAGCAAAATCACATTCTTACACAAACTGTGCATCGCGCCCCTTTTCATTAACTCAACAAAACAAGCTAACGCTAGCTTTCGAAAGAAACAACTTACTTGCAGCAGCGGCAAACTGGAGCTGTTCTCCCCCGATGTTTGTGCACCTGCGTCTCGCCCCTCCGCCGTTTGACCTCCCGTTCCTTCATCAGTTGGCTGGATACCATCACGTAAATACTGCAGGGGGCTTCTTTTAATGTGATGGTAGTATGAATTGTAAACCCTGTAATCCTCCGTGCACCCGTCGATACCGCATAGCAGCCAAAAGTCCGGACTGCGGCTATGCTGTCTATTGATATGGCTCAGTAAGAGCTTCAATGAAAAAGTTGTAAAAACTGCACAAATGTAGCAGCGCCAGACCATTGTTTTCTTGAGCTCAATGTCAATAAGTTCCAAACGAACGCGCATTTCCCAAAGCTAGTTAAGTACATTCTTATCTTAGGGAGGGGGGCGTAAAATATTGACATACACTTTTGACGCATGATAGACTAGTAATGCGAGTGTCAGTCACATATTATTATACAAACATACTTTACGTAAAGAAAAAAGTGTTCTTGGCCAAAATTAACATCGTATTAGCGATTAAATGGCGACATAACATTGACTTGACACTCCCCCCTCTCACCGAATTGGTATCTTCCGACGCAATGCATCAACATTGGCGGCAAACTACGTAGCGCCGCACGGCGCCCTTCTTTCGGCGGTGAAACAGAAGCAGCCGTTAATTTTCAGAAAGAAAAATCGTTTTTATCTTTCTACTTTTTACTTTGGTGTTTGCTGGATATCTCGGAGAGCCAACATGGATGACGATGGGGCGAGCGAAACATATCCAGAGATTGACAGTGTGTCAGCCTCAGTATTAAAAGGTAAAATGTTTTTACTGTATTATCTTTTAGCAACATGCTAAATGCTAACTAGCTAACGCTTAGCGTGTGTTAACAGACTACTTCCACTTCTAATTTGCGTTTACCCTTGACATTTGTTACCTAGTTTTGTCATTAATGTGAATTATTTCATGTTAGTGTGCTACAGGTATACACATTTTTTTTCTTTTTCTATCAAAAGAGTTAATGCACACTTATACGACTGATTGGACTATTTACTTTAATAAATAATAATAATAATATATCAAACTGTAATAACTGCCATATTTATGAAAATATCTGTTTTTATTAGCTGCTGGTGTGAAGATGACCATGTTGCCCAGCCTCACTAAGGAGGATTTGCGAGACCTGTTTCCTGGACCAGAAAACTTTTTAAGAAGAAGACACATTTGGCAACTTGTTCATGGTGATGTGGAGGTGAGTTGTATTTATTGTTTGTAAAAATGTTTTGCCCCGAACTATGAGAACTGAGACCAAATGTCTGTTGTGTTTATGTTGCAGAGTCAGAAATCCGATTGCCCAGTCCTTGACACTTCTGGTATTGACAGCCCACCTACACCTTTGCTTTCTTCCTCCTCTGACAGCAACATCTGCTCTCCAACACCCTTCAATTCTCCAAAACCTAAACATAAAGATTGTTCTGGTGCCACTAAAAAGCCACTGACACAGAACTAGAACTAGCAAGAAGTGCTTACTTCGAAAAGCAGCGTGCTGGACAAGACAATGACTACACCATGCCAAAAGACTTGCGCTGTAGACTCATTAGGAATACAGTTACAAGCATGATTGCTATCAAAAGGATGGGGTACCCCCACGACGTCCGAGGATGATTTTAAGTACCCAGGCCCCCGTGAACTGACTGCCATGGCTAAACGTCTAGTGGAATACTACCCAATGCTTCGAGACAAGTCTACGCCCAGTACACCTGAATGGGTAAGTCTCTCATTTTGTTTTGATTGATTTGATTTTTTCATCTGTTACCAATGGTATTGGTTTTGTTTTGATTTATTTGTTTTTTAAGGAAATGTTGAAGAAGCAGTTGTTGAAAAGGGTTCAGAATGTGACAACTCCAAAAAAGAAGCAAGGAGCAACCCCATCAAGAAAAGGACGTCGAAGCCTAAAATTCCAGAGCAGCCAGGAGACATGCACCGAAGAGAGTGATGAACCTTTCTCCTCCCCTACTTCAGTCTCTTCACCTGCCTCATCAGTCGCCTCGTCCTCTGCCTCCACTGTGATCCTAGAGAAGTCAACTCCATCTACTTCCCAAGAGGATCTCTTGAGTGGTAGGTTAGAATTTACTTTACTTTTACATTTACTTAATGCTTATTGGAAAATATTTTAATTTGTATATAATGTATTTTTTTACTTTCTGTATACTTTTTGTTTGTTATCTATTCCCAGAGAGCCCACAGAGCCAAGCAAGACACTATAAAACTCTACAGGATATGTACAAAACTAAGAACAAACCAAACAAGGAAGATGTATCTCAGCTGTTGGAACTGGAGTTCCAATCTAGACGGGCTTTCATTGACTCTGATGTGATGAAGGAACAGGACAGGCCTACGAAGATACTGCAGGCTTATCCATGTTTTAAAGAACTTAGCCATGTAAGTATTTTTTTTCTCACTTAACTTGTATATTTCACTAGAGCAAAGGCCTCTTAATTTATTTGTATTATTTTAAATCTCTCACTGTTAGATCATCGATGAACTTCACCGAATCCTTGCAAGAGGAAACCCCTTCTTCACAATGGAGCTGAAGAAACGTTGGCTGAGATTTTTTAACCAGGCGCAGTTTTATGGGGTGTTCAAAAAATTCATAGGGCCACCATTGCAGGACCAAGGTAAGGATGATTTATCGGCTGTTACCCACATACAAAGGCCTAAAATGATTCTGATGTATTCTTATTGTTTAAACAGTAAAGAATGCACTTGCTGTCCTGAAAGTACTGCCTCAGATGTTCCCTTCGCATGTAGGTCTGCCGAAGAGGTTGGGACACCCAAGTGATGCTTTGTTTCACATTTTGACGGTAAGAATATTATATATATTTTTTTTTGTTATGTTTACGTTCTGTCTATGTGTTTGTCCCAGTTGTTAAGGAGTGTTTCTATTATCATGTACTTTGTTCAAACTTATGTATTTGGGTGAAGATTTAATTACTTTTATGTTTTAGTCAGCAGAGGACCCCAACACTTACCTTCAATCAAGACCCTTGGTCAGCCCTGTGGTGATTGTCTGTGAGACAAACTGCATCCTGGCCATTGGAACGGTTCCTCTGCTTACTTTCCCCAAAGAAGACCTCAGTGAAAGTGTGATGTATCTCCTTGGCTGTTATTACACCTTTCACCTCACATACCCTAAGTGCATTGGTACCCTCCTGTCTGTGCTACAGACGGACGTTTTGTTAGATGCCATCCATGAGAAGGACATGACTACTTCCTACAAAAAAGCTATGGCTGAATGGAGAAAGTTTCATGAATAAGACCATTCAAACATCAGTTTTAGTTTTAAGTAGTTCAGCAGCATTGAGTCCAGGGACGTGCGGTGAGGTTTGTGATTGGGGAGGCACTGACTTTAAAAGTCAGATTTACAATCATTATTCAAATAAAATAGCATTTAATCACCAATGCAATGACATCCACAAACTTTATATACTGTAAAGATAAGAGAACCAGCTTCTTTTAATAATCTCACAACAAATCTAGCTGCTGACTCTGCTCCGCATCAAACAACATCTTTAAGAAGCGCAGGTGCGAGAGACGCGAGGAGAGAGAGACGCGAGGAGAGAGGAGCAGAGAGAGACAGAGAGGAGCAGAGAGACGGAGACGCGAGGAGCAGAGAGAGACGGAGACGCGAGGAGAGAGAGACGCGAGGAGAGAGGAGCAGAGAGAGACAGAGAGGAGCAGAGAGACGGAGACGCGAGGAGCAGAGAGAGACGGAGACGCGAGGAGAGAGAGACGCGAGGAGAGAGGAGCAGAGAGAGACAGAGAGGAGCAGAGAGACGGAGACGCGAGGAGCAGAGAGAGACGGAGACGCGAGGAGAGAGAGACGCGAGGAGAGAGAGACGCGAGGAACATAAACAATAATTTAAACAAGTTGCAGAACTCTTGAGCAGTGTTTGAATCAGTGTTTTTCGGAAAAGCACTACTTTGCCGGTATCTGTCAATGTTCAACATAAAACACAGATTAACAAACTCCTCCCCCGCAGCCGGACTAACCTCGTAAGTCCAGTGGTGGTCTCCCAGTCTATATTAATTCTTTCTTTGTTTGAAAGTCCAATTGAGAAAAAAAATCTTCATTCAAATCATCCATTTTCCAGCAAAAGAAATAGCATTTTGGGCTGATTGTTTGTTAGCAACTCTGGTATGAACTTTATGCTCACTATCACCCCTAGCGGTGAGGCACAGATACCGCCTGCCTCACGCCAAGCTTTTTCCTCGTGTGTTCATCTACGATCAAAAGACTTAAACTAAATATAAATTGTACACACATACGTGCAATACACTACTAAACACTAAGAGGAGTTTAAAAAATGTTTTTAAAGCAGGATATTTGAAACAAACGGTGATATATCAACTGCACGAGCTGAGTGCACTCAGACACACACACACACACTGTGAGGGAGCGGTCTGGGGTGAGGCACGCAGGAGCGCTGCCTCACCTCGTCTCTTTGAATAGGAATAACGGGATTTCGGCGATTTTGACTTCAGAAATGATCAAAACTGATGGGAACCGTGCCGAATATACATTAAAAGCATAGGACAGTGGATATAAATTATATATTTAAACTAAAATAATTATTAGTTTCCAATAATGGCAGGTAAGGCTCTGCCTCCCCTGCCTCCCCTGACTGCACGTCCCTGATTGAGTCCCTCCTAAAATGTGGCTCCTGTTCAATTAGGGCTGGTTGATTTTGGAAAAAAAGTAATTTCCCCATATTGATCAATCTCAATTTTTGTTTAAGTTTTGTTTTTTCATGATAAATTCAATAAATCTTGCTGATTCCTAAAATTAGATACATCTTCACCAAGTCTCCTTTTACGCACAAAAGTCTTCCGTTGTATTGTCCAAACTCCCAAACTAGGTACTGTTTGTACCAAAGAAATGGCTGTAAACCTCTCGGTTATAAAGTCCCATGACGATTATTGAGATTGACCAAAGTAGAGATTGAAACTTCGATTAAATTTCGATTAATTGCCCAGCCTTATGTTCAAGAGATTGGCTATTGGTTTTTGCTGTGGTTTGTGGTCTTGAAACTGATTTTGCACAATAAAAGAGTGGAAAGATATAATGTTCTTTGTTTTATTATATAACTCTTGTTTTAAGGTTTTTAGTCTTAAATTAAATTCTGATTTTAAGCATATTTTTCTTGTAAATAATTACATTTAGGTGAAATGTGCTTGTTTTTAGAATAGCTGTGCCTATTTCAAGTTCTATTTAGTAAGCTAATTTTTCTTATTTATAGTAATCAATTCTAAATAGACCAAAAATAAGTGAATATTTCTGATATTAAGAAAAATTTTCTAAACATTATAGCTTGAAAAAAGACAATATTGCTTATTTTTGGTCTAAATATACTAATTTCAAGATCGCTGTGGGTCATACAGGGCTAGTATTATTTTCTTATTTTTGAAAATCTTACCAAGTAAAAATTTCTTGTTCTGTTGGCAGATAATTTTGCTTATTTTAAGTATTATTTTTCTTATTTTAGCTTTTTTTTTCTTTTTTTTTTAAGTGGACTTTTTGCAGTGTACACACACACACCAGGACTCTACTGCACAATACAGCCAAACTCCACTCCACCATTGCAGATACGTGCTTGTGCGAGTCGTATAACTCGCTGCGATACTTTCGTTGTTTAAACTACTGCTAGTCCTCTGTGTTCGGCAAGCTAACGGCTAGCTACACTCGTTTGTTTTTAGCATAAGGCTAACTTCCGGTCCCGGTGCGCTAGCTCCGGGCCTGCACTCGGACAGGGTCCACTGATCCTAACCACACTCTTCCACTAATACAGACCTGGGCGAAATAAGGCCCGGGGGCCGGGTCCGGCCCGCCAAGCTATTTAATCCGGCCCGCGACTCATTTTCAATATAAGTATGATTTTTTGGCATTTTCTGCACCGCTTTAATTACGCTTTCGCGACACGACGCGAAGGTTCCGCCTTGTCCAGCACCTCCACCTGCGCGTGATATGATCCTTCATTTGTCACGAGCAGCCCTCGACAATGTCATCCCATGCTAAAAGAAGAAAGGTAGATACCGAATGCAGGATTTTCAACAAACATTGGACTGCTAAGTATTTATTTGCTGAAGTTGGAGCTAAGGCTGTTTGTTTAGTTTGCGAGGAGCAAGTTGCCGTGTTTAAAGCTGCACTAACTGACTTTATTTTTGTATTCATTACGAAAATGCTATCCATGTCCATGTAGTGCATTGGGATATACATCATTTTGAAGAAAAAGTAGCGCAGATTTGTGCTGGCGTGACATTATATTTTAGATCGAGTTTTGATGAAACAAGGAAGAGAATGTGTTTCGGGTCGCGGATTGTGACCAATAGCAGCGCACCACTAGCCCCCACTTTCGTGAGAAATCTACAGGTCCGTTAGCATAGACGGCTGAGTTAGCACAACAAGACGAGGAGCTAACCTGAAACTTTGTGTGTCTTCGTCACCGGATACTGCTTACACAGCGAAACAGCCATCCAAAAGAAAGTCCCGTTCCTCCGCGCTTCCCGGTTCTATCGTTCTATGGTCACGCCATCCACGTGCAAATCCATATTCGTGTATTATCCATATTGGGAGACACTAACTCCGTCCCAACAGTGGGTGTGTGTGTGGGGCGATAGCTTCGTGGGTGCGGGGAGGGGAGCAGAGAGAGAGAGGCCAGAGAGTCCACGGCTTCAAAATCCCAAAGTCAGTTAGTGCAGCTTTAAGGAGTACAATGTGAGTCGGCATTACCAGACGAAGCACGCAGAGAAATACAAAAACTTAAATGATGCTGAAATGGCGCGGACATCAAAAACTTTGCTAGCTGCACTGCAAAAGCAACAAGAGGTTTTCACCAAGCGCTATGCAACCAGGAGGACCAGCTTTGTGATTTCCCACAAGATTGCTAAAAACAGTAAACCATTTGCAGAGGGAGAATTTGTTAAAGAGTGCTTGGTGGACTCTGCTGCGCTAATATGCCCGGAGAAAAAAGGAGCATTTGAACAAGTACCGCTGTCCAGGCGAACGGTGACAAGGAGGGTCGAGGACATGGCGGGGAAGAATCTGGAGCTTCAACTGCAACATGAAGTGGCACGTTTTGACCTCTTCTCTTTGGCTTTGGACGAGAGCTGTGATGTCCGAGACACGGCCCAGCTACTCGTATTTGTTCGTGGGATAACCGGCTTCAAGATCACAAAGGAGCTGGCAGCAGTGCGGCCGATGAAAGGGACCACAACAGGGGCTGATCTGTTCAGGGAGGTAAATGCGTGCATGGACACACTGGGATTGAAATGGGAGAGACTGGTAAGTGTCACAACAGATGGTTGTCCAAATCTTACAGGGAAAAATGTTGGACTTTTGAAACGTATTCAAGATAAAGTGACTGAAATGAATGCAGATCAGAAAGTTATATTTTTGCATTGCATTATACACCAACATGTTTTGTGCAAGTCAGTGTTAACAATTAACCATGTTATTGATGTTGTTACTAAAATAGTAAACTTTATCAGGGCACGGGCATTGAATCACAGACAGTTTGTTGCACTTTTGGAGGAGAGAGACACTGAGCATAATGACATTTTCTACCACACAGCTGTCAGGTGGCTCAGCCTGGGTCAAGTGTTAAAAAGAGTTTGGGACCTGAAAGCAGAGATTTTAAAGTTTTGTGAATGTAAAGGCAAAGATTTCCCAGAGCTCTCAGATGAGGATCACAGATTTGGCATTTTCTGTTGATGTGACAGCACTGATTAATGATCTGAACACAAAACTGCAAGGAAAGGACCTTTTTGTTCATGAAATGTACAGCCTGGTGAAAGCTTTCATGAGTAAGATGACACTTCTCTCAAGTCAACTGGAGAACAACTCCCTCACTCAAATGCAAACACTGAAAGGAGTCACACCATCAGCTGATCATCTCCGCAGGTACTCATCCATGATAATAGCATTGCATGGTGAGTTTTCAAGACATTTTGAAGATCTCAGAACTATTGAGGATGAGATGAAGATGATTTCCTCCCCCTTTACCTGCAGTGTAGATAATGCACCCAGTGATGTTCAGATGGAACTGATTGACCTGCAGTCTGATGCAGTCTGATGCAGTCTGATGCAGTCTGATGCAGTGTTGGCAGAGCACTTTCACTCAAAACCTCTTCTAGATTTCTACTCCTCTCTTGTGGAGGAGAACTTTCCAAACATGAGGAGATATGCCCAGAAGATGTTGGTTCTGTTTGGTTCTACGTACATATGCGAACAGACATTTTCAACTATGAAGTTCACAAAACTCTCACTGATGAGCATTTGTCAGCTTTGCTTCGCATCTCCACCTCAGACATTCAGCCTGACTTGCTTGTTAAAGCCCAGCAGAGACAAGATTTCTCTCACTGAGAATTTATAAATAAATAAACACCACATCCACCTTTTGTGACGGATTACAAAAAGAGGCATGTAAAGGAAGTGGCAGTGACCTGGGACACTTGGAAGCCTTTTTTTTTCTTCAAAATCACAGTTTTGTGATGTTTAATAACAATTCAATATGTTTCTTGCTTGGTTTGGTTGGTTTGGAGCACAAACATTTTTTTTTTTGTTTCTTTATGGCACATTCACTGAAAATGTAGACTAAAAAAAAGTCTTTGTCACAAATGTGAAAAACTATTTTTGCTTAGTATTACTTTCAAACATTTATTGAATAAACTACATTTTTTATAAGGCAACCTCAATCGTATGTCGCTTGTGTAACTAAGTATATATAAGTAACAATTTCAAATATTATTATGTATATTTTATTTTATTTTTTATTTTATTTTTTTTTATCCGGCCCTTCACAACATTTTCTGTTTCTCATGCGGCCCCCTGTAAAAAATAATTGCCCACCCCTGCACTAATAGCTGCTCCGTTATTGTTAGGATTAGTGCCACTCTGCTTACCCAAATTGCATTCGGTTGCTAAAACTCAATGTTTTGGTGCCTAGACTACTGCTAAACCTGCTGTTTTCGGCAAGCTACCGGCTAGCCACACTCCTTTGTTTTTAGCATACGGCTAACTTCCGGCTCCGGTGCGCTAGCTCCGAGCCTGCACCGCCGCTGTGCTTGCACTAATTCTGAACCACTCTGCTTATTGCACTGCTTACCCGTTGTCTAACAATAACACTACTTGCTATACTTTCGACCTATTCTGGCTCACACTGATTCTGTGTTTTGGCAATAAAAGGGTGCTAACCCCGTCTCTGCATACTGCTAAACGGAGCTACACCTCTTTTATTGTCTAGCATTGGACTACTTTCCGGTCCCGGTGCGCTACTTCCGGGGCCACACTGCTGCTGCCTTGACATTTAATTCTGCTCCTCACCCGCTGCATGTAATTGTTGAACCGCATTACTGTGTTGGTAAAACTAATACTTTAATTCTGCTCCTCACTGCTGCATGTCATTGTTGAACCGCATTGATGTGTTGGTTAAACAATACTAGACCCCCGCTCCTATCACTGCTGTCACTAAAAACTGCATCGCCTTGTCGTTCAGCCTGCTGCTTACTTGCTACTACTAACGCAGTTGCGTCTTAAACGCCGCAGTTGCGTCTTAAACGCCGCAGTTGCGCCTCAAACGCCGCTGCGTCCCAACGCGGTTGCGTCTTAAACGCCGCAGTTGCGTCTTAAACGCCGCAGTTGCGTCTTAAACGCCGCAGTTGCGTCCTAAACGCCGCAGTTGCGTCCTAAACGCCGCAGTTGCGTCCTAAACGCCGTAAACGCCGCAGCTGCGTCCTAAACGCCGCTACGTCCCAAACGCCGCTGCGTCTCAAACGCAGTTGCATCTAAAAAGCCGCAGCTGCGCCTTAACGCCGCTGCTTCTCAAACGCCGCCGCTTCTCAAACGCCGCCGCTTCTCAAACGCCGCCGCTTCTCAAACGCCGCCGCTTCTCAAACGCTGCTGCTTCTCAAACGCCGCTGCGTCTCAAACGCCGCTGCGTCCCTGAGCCGCGTCCCTACGCCGCGTCCCTACGCCGCGTCCTTACGCCGCGCCCTTGCGCCACGCCCTTACGTTGCGTCCCTACGCCGCGCCCAACGCCGCGTCCTACTACTGCTACTAGCGCTGGTGCCACTACTAACCCTGCGTGCGCCAACGCCGCTAACCCCACCGCTCTTCGCTGACACACAGGTGAAGAAGCACTAACGCCTGACCCCAGTCCTAGGCTACCTACTCGCATACACCGCCGCACGAAGAGGACGCTGTAGTCACGGCTTTGACATACACCAAGGTTTGCACCACCACACAAACAACAGCTGTACTACCCACTCTATAGCACTGTTTTCCTCCTTTCCTCCTCTCACCGTGTCATGCACACACGTTCCAAGTCATACTCGCATACACTCACCCACGCAAATATGGACAACGATGGCGGAAACTCGCCACGCCCGAGCGAGCACGACGGTGTCATAGAAGAACAGGATGTGGTGGATAACTTTCTGCGTGACTTTACCGAAAAGCTATCCCCGGGAGCCTATGACACGCTTGAACATGGCTCGCCCTCTGTCTTACAGGATGCCACCTCCATGTTAGCATCCGAGGTTATTACAAAGAAACTCGAAGGTAAGACCCTGACCCAGTGGCTGGGACAACTAGCCGCAGTCTCCAGGATAACCTTACGCGAATCCGAGACTAAATCAGAACAGCTTCAAGACAAAGTAGGTGAACTACAACGGCAACTAGCGGAAGCTAGAAAGTCAGAGAATCAGGGCCGCTATGTCGACCAGAACCGGTCGAGACAGTGCCTCCGGGTCACACTCCCCTCGCTCCGACCGCGGCGACCCATCGTCCGAGAATGAACGCAGGAGCGTGGCCGAACTGGTAAGTATCATGACGGGAAAAGACCAAAATCAAGGTCAAAGGAACAATACACAACCCAACAATACTAATCGGAACAGACCCCAGCGGTCCGCCAACGACGGACCCGACCACGTTGCGCGCGACCCCAACCAAACAACGGGACCGCACACAACTACAGCCAACCAACAACACAACATTAGACACATCGACCACTTTGACCCCAGACTCGACCCACCTATGAGCCAGGCGACGTACCACGTGACAGACCGCTCGCGGGTCCCCGGCGACCTCTCCGTCTATGAGAGACAACCCCCGCCCGGACCCGCCGCAATGCATCGAGACGTAAAATACGAGACGCATGGCTACCAGACCCATACACACGGACTGTCCATGGACCGCGGCGAACAACGGCCGACGGCCCGCCATGGGGACGGTGGAGACCACCACGACCAAGGACGGGACCCCCACGACGCCCCTCCGGGAACGCACATGGACATGCGACACAGACAACAGGACTACCCGACCCACGACTCTGGCCCACCTGACGTCCATACGAGACATGTTCCAGACTACCGCCATTGGGACGAAAGGGCCCGACCTGAACATGGCGGACAACCCCACAACGACCCCCCTGGCGTACATCAGAACATGCTACATGGACCAAACGACGCACGGTACCCTAAGCCTGGGCCGTCCGCATATGCTGCGACACAATGGCCAGCGACCCGCCATGGGAACGCCGGGGACCTCCCCAATCATGGAGGACAACCCCACGGCACCCCCCCTGACGCACGCCAGGACTTAGCCCTAGGTCAACGATACTACCCGGACTATATAGAACGCGACGCCCGTCACACGCCACCGACAGGTCGAGACCCGCTCGGACCATCCGACCGGGACTTTGACCGCATAGCTAGACACATAAACCGCTTTGACCCCCGGCCCGGCATGCCTACAAACACCCGGTCATACCTCCGCGTCGTCGACTTCCACGCCGACCGCATACCACACGCATCTCAAGATGACAAAATATTCTTGATTAGACTCACGTCCAATGGAGAGGTGAATGACTTCATCGAAAGGCAACCAAAGGCTATAAAACAAGACTACAATGGGCTCTGCAAAGCCATCCTAGCAGAATACTCAGACTACGGCGCCTCCGGGACCCTCACGGCAGCCATGGCAGTCAAACAAGCTCACAACGAACTTGCGGAATGCTACTACCACAGGTTGAGACAGGCCTACTTCGGCAACCGAAACTACGAAGGGATGGAGGAAGATACAAATTTCAGGGCCCTGTACCTCCAAAACCTCCACCCCAACCTTAGCCAACTACTGGGCGTATACGCCTGCCCCCTTACACAGGACATACGACAACTAAAGACCCTAGTGGCAAGGGCAGTAGTAGTAGTAGTAATCATTATTTATATACCGCCTTTTCACTGCACATCGGAGTCTCAAAGCGGTTTACAATTGTTATTTTTGGGAGTGGGCGTGCCAGTACAGGAGGCACATGCCAGACCTATTGTACATATTTTTAGTGGTAGGGGAACCCGGAGCACCCGGAGGAAACCTACGCAGACACGGGGAGAACATGCAAACTCCACTCAGAAAGGCCCTGGTCCAACCAGGATTCGAACCCAGGACCTTCTTGCTGAGAGGCGAGAGTGCTATCCACTCAGCCACCGTGACGGCGGTGGCTGAGTGGATAGCACTCAGCCACAAGGGCACAAAGCAAACACTTGCTCAAGACACAGGCGAAGCCGCAAACCCAACCTACGGTGTACAGCGTGGAAAACCACATGGAACTCGAGGGCGCACCAACGGCCCAAAAACACAAATGGGAAACTGACCGCGGACCTCAAAGGAATAACCAGAGACACGCGGACCCGAAGAACGGACAGCCACGCGACCAGAAACTCCCGCAATACGGCGAGAGACGCGCCGGCCAGGCCGACGGGAAAGACCGCGCGCCACAACGGTCCCACCAAGACCGCACTGCTACAACCATAAATAAGAGCAACCTTTCCAGAGAGGAACAATCCCTCCTCCGCACGCTCCTGTGCAAAGCCAGAGAGAAGAAGACAGACAGCGCCGACGTTTTCGCAGTGTCCGTGTCGGATGACGCCGAGGACGCTCCCTACCAGATGGACGACGACCTCAGCGAACAGGAGCCGGATGACGACTACTCCGACCCAAACGCACAAAATGAGGACATCCGCTACGACCAGAGGGAGGTCATGGTAATACAGGTAAACTCCATCACAGACCCACAAGGGGATGGCCCCTCGACAACCAACTGCGAACCACCGTTCCACCAATTCATCGGCGATCTACAACAAAAAGGTACCTATGGGAAACTCTACTTGCCCGTGACGCTTGAAGACCAATGAGAACACGAGGCGCTCGTAGACACAGCTGCCAATATCAGCCTGATTGGCGACGATCTCTTCGGTAAGTTACAGTCCCTGGCCAGTAAATCCCACAGAGACCTAAAAACACAGCCGTGCGACTTAGAAATACGACCCTATTCCCAGGAAGACACGACCATACGTAAATTGGCTCTAATGCGACTGACCGTGGGCCCCATTACGCTGGTCCACCCGGTCTACATCTCTCCAGTCAACGCGCACCCGCTCCTACTGGGCCAGGACCTTCTAAATCGGTTTAAGCCCCTAATAGACTTCCAACGTCTGAAGATCTGGGTACAGGTCCGGGAGCCCTTGCCCATTCCGCGCCCGTTGGGCGAAAACCACTGCTACTTCATAGACGCGCCACCCGCGAACGGCCCACAGCCCGCCGCGGCACAAACCGAAACCGGTCAACGGACGCCCACAACCTGCGCGAACGCCGCGCCCACACGCATGGCCCCCGACCTTGACAGGTCGGACTTAGCCTCCCCCCGACATGCGGACCCCACACTAGAACGCCCCTTCGACGTCACGATCAACACGACGCTCGGAATCTCCGGCCGTGATAAAGACGAACCGCCGATACGCCATGGGCTGTTAGGTTCTGCTTCCGATACACTCACTTCGTCGGTACTCGTGGTGCCTTGAAGCATGAGGGGGGTAATGTTGGCACACGCCCATGACGCACCTACCGCGGAACACAGAAGTATAAACAACACACGCCAGGCACTACAACAGGTAGAAAGGATGGACCGAACGGTGACTGAAATACTAAGGTACGTATCCCCAAACCACAGTGATGAGAACGTGAAACTCCCCCGGCTCCTGGGGGCAAACCAATACAGGACCGACCCGCAGGACCACCTGGAACAGACGTTCGCATTTACACAAAAGAAACTGGGAGACAGCGCCGAAGGACGCAAAGCCTACTACGATCAAAAGGCGTCTCGCAACGAGCTCCAGGTCGAAAACCAGGTATGGTATTACACCTTGGCACATTCCCCAGGACACGTGGGGACCGGCCCCACCAGACTACGCCGGAAATCGCTACCCCGCTGGTCAGGACCATACAGGGTCGGAAACAAACTCTCAACCGTAGTGCACCAGATCGAGGTCACAAAAGGTAGAGAGCCCACCCTCAGATGGGTCTGTCACAACCGAACCAAACCACACAAACAAAGCCCCATGGGACAAGCAGGGCACACTACAAACCACAGTTAGGAACACACCCCGTGACCTCAAACACTATTAGTCCAGCACCCACTAACGCTCTTCTCGGCTGCACTAATCGAGTCTCTCTTTCTCTGTCTAACCCCTAACATTTGTTTCACGCCTTGCAGAACATGTGGCCCACTTTCCTTCTCATGCTGACCTGCATACTGTGCCTCGGCACCCCAGAAATTATTGAGACCGGACCAGCCTCCGGGATCGTTTTAAAGGAACAACCCGGGCTCCTCATCACGGACGTCCGACTCCACACACAGCGAATCTTTGTCAGACTCAATCCTAGTGAAGTCTGCCGCAAGAACCTGCCCTTGAAAGTCACACTCAAAGGCTGGGCGGGTGCACGCTGGACCCAGACGGTCGTGGAGCACGCTGAGGCAGACATACAACACATGCTGACACAACTAGAGAAGTTCACGATCACTAGGACAGAGCTCAGTGACCCTCGCCCCAGACCCAAACGATTTATTGGGGCTCTCCTCGGCGCGGCGTCCGCCCTGAGCACCCTCTTTACCTCTTTAGCCTGGGGATGTCCACGGTAAACGCCATTAACCTATCCTCCCTCAGACGCCACCAACAAGAAATGGCCTCTGAACTCGAGGATGTCAAAACCAGACTTGACCAACAACAGAACGACGTGGTGACCTTGGCAAAGTCCCTGAAAGGAACCATGCTAGTGCTTAACACACACGAGGTTGCGATTAAAAGCACCTCCGCTGCGGTCAATCAACTCCTAGACGTTCTCCAACTAGACTACGCCCATACTCAGCTGACCACCCAGCTGATGGAGGACATGCTGCGTCACCTCAGTTCCTCGATCGAAAACCTAGCCATGGGCCGTATCCCGCCATACCTCGTGCCGCTATCGTTAGTTGAGAACATCCTAGCCGTAGCCACACGGGACGCCGTAACCCCCATGCAAGCCCACTTAGCGTACACGCTGGGCGCTGCAGTCCCCATCTATGTTAATCCTCTGGACCGCGAGGTAGCCTTCCTAGTCACCCTACCGATAGTTCCCGGCGATAAAATCTACCGACTAAAAGGGGTCACTAACCTAGGGACCTGGAGGGACAATGCCCACGTCAGAGTCCAGACACCAGACATAGTAGCCTACCACGACAGTAACCCCAATTTGTACCTAACGCCAAATCTAAGGATGTGCACCCTCACCAAGGACATCCATTACCTCTGCCCCAGCAAACCTTTCGTCAGGGACTGCACAGATGGCATCTGCGGCCTGAGGCCCATGACTCCAGGGAGTCGATGCCCCGCGACGGTCACCTCTCGGAAACAAATAACCGAAACTAGAGCAGAGATTGTAGGGGCAAGATGGCTAGTGAACACTCCCCTTAGAACGGCGACCCTGACCTATGACAAACATGACACCTCGTCCCGAGTAAGCCTCCCGGACGAAACCTTCTGGGTCGACGTCCCAGCCGACGCTATCCTGCACATAGGCGACCTGGCATTATACCACCTGTATCCAAACCAGTACGAGGCAGAGGTCGAGGTACCAGAGTTCTTTGAGAAAAGGGCCTTGGAACTTCAACCCTCCACCCTCGTCCAAGCCACCTACGAGGGGGCACAAACCGTTGACGTTACGGTCGTAGACAACCTCCTTCAAGAGATTGCCAAGCGACCGACCATCCACCACCAACCAGTAGCCTACTCCTGGGCCGCCCCCGACACAGTCATGGCCATTGCGGTAGGACTCGGGTACGGCCTGGCCGTAGCCATGGCCTTCGTTCTAAATAGACGGGTTAGACGACTCGGCGATAGCTTTAACAGGTGCACGGAGGCAATGACGAGACAGATCCGTAAACGACCAAACCGGGGCGACAGCGCCGTCGAGCGTGGCAATTTAAGTCGGCGCCCCCAAGTCAACGAATCAGAGTACGAGGACCTCCAAAGCCACCCACTCGAGACGGTCACTCTTTCTATCACAGAAGGTGAACCAAGGGCCTAAAACCCCACTAAGAGTCACCAGCTCAGACCCAAACATATCTACCTCGATACCTAATCAGTCTCCTAGACAATCATACCTGTCATCCCCGTTTATATACAGGAAATTCCCCTCGTAATTAAAGCCCCACTTGCTACGTCATATATTCTTGTAACCCTTATACTCCCCTAGTCCTAGTCCCCTAAAAATAGAAACTCCTGCTAATCTCTTGGCTTGGAACTTTGAGTCTTCCAGACCAAGAGACCCAGGAGTCAGGCGCACCGGCCCAAACCCTTGAGTTCACGGCCGTAGCTCACTCCCTGAAACCCCTGATCCCGGTTAGAACTAGCCTGCAGGGCCAGGACTCGCCTTAGAGAAAACCCGGCCTCGACAAACCAAGCCAGAGGCCCGAGACCCAACCGCCACGAGCCTGGCCCCAGTTAGGCGCTTGCGAATTACTGAGTCACATTAAGGCGAGAATGTTGTAACATGTCACCACAAATCACGCACTAACACCCGAACAGGCGAGACGACCGACTGAGCATACCCGCCCGGCATATCCGACATGACATGCACCTTGTCGGAAGGTGCATCTCTGCCGTGGGGGGGGGGGTATGTAAGGTGAATTAACCTCTTAAAACCCGCCTCATTTTGGCTTGTGCACAAAAGTTTGGCATACCCAAATGTCTTTGCTTATTTAAAAACACATCTTACATCTCACATGCTTGTGTGATGCATAATTTTAAAGCTAGAGCCTTCTAGTTTATGTAAAAAAACACTAAAATAATGTTTGTCATTCCTATTTTCCTCTGCATCCTTTGAAGTTAGGGAAAAAAACCCAATTTTCTTAGCCTCGCCTAACATTTTCAATTTCTAAAGGCCCTAAAAAAGGCATACTTCATTGTAAGTTCACAATATTCAAACCCTCTGTTCATTGTGTTGTTGACAACAACTGTCTAAAGTTTCAGACTTCTAAGTTTTATAGTTTTTATGCAGTTTTTCCTTTTCATCAAGTAGTGCACATTTGGCCAAATATCTTTACTTACATTTAATCATCATAAAAACAATATTTTTTATTATTGGTACTTATAAGTTACTAATCTATGTGTGTTTTTCTTTTTTAAATGTCAAAGTTATTTTTTTATGAGTGTAAATTCATTGCAGCTTCGAGAGCGTCTTTTGGCTGCCATTACGCACAATTGTCCAGGCCCAACATAAGACAGGACACCATTGTCCCACCCCTTGTTCGAAAGCTTTCCTCATTGGCTACAAGGACATGTCAATCGTAAATCCCGGAAGTAAAAGCAAACAAGTTGGGATCACAACAAAGATCAGTGATCAATGCGCAAACAGCAACACTAGCTGTACTCGCGGGACCTCTTGCAGACCCAAAAATTGGTCTAGCTTTTCGGGAGTAGTCTCATTTGAAAGATAAGGAGCTAAGGAACACGTAGATACCAGATGTTCGGGTGAAAAACAAAGCTAAAAGTCCGTTAAAAGTGAAAGAGTAACATCTGTGCTCTTTTTTTTCGTTTTTTCCGCTAAAGATAAATTCACATTTTTGGATTATTTCTGCAGAATGGATTTTACTTTGGGAAATACAAGTGGATATAATTTTCCTTTGGACTGTTCCAGAGAGAATGATGTATTGCAAGCTGGGAGGAGAGCTGATTTATTTGTACAGCACAAGCCCAAAGGTAAAAAACTATTTTGGAATTGATTTATTTTGTGCCCACATTATGTGTTATATCTTTTGAATGCAAAGTCTGATGTAGATGTATATAAATGTAGATAAGAAAATAAGCTTTAAAATGATATACAGCTTTTGGGGTTTGGTGTTCAAAATACATCTGCTATTGCCAGCAGAACATTTAAAAACATAAAAACGTAAGGACAGCCAGTCGGACGTTGACCAGCAAACCAAGATATGTAAACATGCCCTCCTGAGCAGGACCCATCTTGACGCACATCTAAGAGACGACCAGGTCAACCAGAGGACGTCATCGGTCACCGAGACCATAAGTGTCAACCAAGACAATAAACCGAGCCCCAGAACAAACATCTTTGTGCCTTTCTGCCTGGCAGAGATCAGAGATCAATAATTTGCTCTCACTCCCGGGACATTCCACGGCTCTGAGACAATCTGTGACTCACCCACGGCGCTATGGCGCCCCCCAGCGGACACGGAACACTATCACACCCGGGACGGACATTTTAAACAATCACCCGTGAAGCCATTATTCGGATAACCTGTATTGTGCCCTACACGTGTGTATCGTTATCAGTAATGTAAATGCGTTGTGCGCCTGTACATGTGTTATGAATGTTGGTATTAATCCTGCATCTGATCGTGGATGTCTGCATGATGTGTTTTTGCCTTGGGACATGTTGGTCCAGAGAGACGCACAAGGATGACGTCACGGACGCGCCCCCTTTAGAAGTCAATATAAACACACACAATGCAGCAGGACTTTCTCTTGGTTCTCCCTTGTAATCACTCTAGCAACTCTACCTTTTCGGTACGCGTCTCCTACGCGGCCTACGCCAGCCACTTTCGGGCCTGTACATCCACGAGGACAGCAGCCACCCCGCTGTTGGAGACAAGGACTCTCCATCGCCAGCCACCCTCGGGCTCCCTTGACACCCCACCGCAACATCATTCTGGACCGTGTTGTGTGCGGAACCCACGTCTGGATCCGACCTGCTGGCTTCCTCCTGCTCCCGTCCGGACAAAGGACACGTGGACGACACCCTCGCTTTTCCCATCTCCATTCTTCATTCTCATCCTCTCCACGGCCTTCCATCGCCCTTACCCCTTCGGACTTCTCAAAGTAAGACTGTTCCTTGTTGGAAGTGTGATTCGAATGATATGTATACAACCTCTGCTTAATGTGACCAGAAAACCCTTTTCGTTATATTTTCTATTTTCAATTTTTGTAGTCAATAAACCCCCGTTATCTTTAACTCATTCATTTCAGCGTCGTGTTTATAAGTCTTGGATATCCCTGGCCGATTTACGTACTCAAAACCATCAGATTTATGATACTGGTATCGAGGCAAATTAGTTGGATCTGTGCAGAAGCTTTCAAACTCTGCTGGTGCCCAAAATAAAAGCAGATCCTCAACTCGTGTAGTACGGCGAGACTCTGATCTGGAGACTAGCCGCACTACACTACATTTTCATTTACCCCACGTATATGATTATCCTTAACAATTATATCTTATACATATATAGTTACCCTACACAGCAGTACAGTGAAGTAAAGTGACGTATGATGGGCAGTAAAGTGACTCTATAAAGGGCGGGGGGACAGGTTAAGAAGTGTTCAAGAGTCCAACAGCAGAGGGGAAGAAACTGTTCTTGTGGCGAGAGGTTCTAGTCCTGATGGACCCCCGTCTCCTGCCTGAGGCGAGTGGTTGGAATAGTCCATGTGCAGGATGAGAGGGGTCGGCTGTGATACGACCAGCCCGGCCTCGAGCTCGGGCGACGTACAGGTCCTGCAGCGATGGAAGGCTGCGGCCGATCACTTCCTCTGCAGAGTGCACAATGCGCTGTAGTCTCTGTTTGTCCCTGACTGTGGCTCCAGCGAACCACACGGTGATGGAGGAGGTGAGGATGGACTCGATGATGGCCGTGTAGAACTGCACCAACATCTGTGCAGGCAGCTTGGCTTTCCTGAGCTGCCGCAGGAAGTACAACCTCTGTTAGGCCCTTCTTGATGAGGGAGCTGATGGTCGGCTCCCACTTGAGGTCCTGGGTTATGGTGGTGCCCAGGAAACGGAAGGACTCCACAGAGGTGATGGGGGAGTCCATCACGGAGGGTGGGGGCGGGGGACAGTGCTCTTCCTGAAGTCCACAATCATCTCCATTGTCTTCTGGGCGTTCAGCTCCAGGTTGTTACCACTGCACCAGGACACCAGCCGGTCCACCTCCCTCCTGTAGGCGGACTCATCGTTGTTGGAGATGAGTCCAATGAGGGTGGTGTCATCCGCGAACTTGAGCAGCTTCACGGAGTCGTGGCTGGAGGTGCAGTGGTTGGTGTACAGGGAGAATAGCAGGGGAGAAAGAAAACAGCCCTGTGGGACTCCTGTATTTATAATCCGAGAGTCCGAGACATTCTTCCCCAGACGCACTCGCTGCTTCCTGTCTGTCAGGAAGTCAGTGATCTACCTGCAGGTGGAATCGGGCACGTTGAGCTGGGAGAGCTTGTCCTGGAGCAGGGATGGCAGGATCGTGTTGAAGGCAGAGCTGAAGTCCACGAACAGGACCCTGGCGTAGGTCCCCGGGGAGTCCAGGTGCTGTAGGATATGGTGGAGGGCAATGTTGATGGCGTCGTCTACAGATCTGTTGGCTCTGTAGGCGAACTGCAGGGGGTCCAGGAGGGGGGAGGTGAGGGACTTGAGATGGGAGAGGACCAGGCGTTCAAATAACTTCAGGACGACACACGTAAGTGCTACATGTCTGTAGTCATTGAGTCCTGTGATCCTGGGATTCTTCGGGACGGGGACAATGATTGAGGATTTGAAGCAGGCCGGGACATGGCAGGACTGCAGAGAGGAGTTGAAAATGTCAGTGAACACAGGAGTAAGCTCACTGGCGCAGTGTCTCAGAGTGGCCGGAGACACGTGGTCCGGGCCACGAGCTTTGCGGGGGTGCAGCCGCAAGAAGAGTTGTATAATATCTTTAGAGGCTATTGTCAGGCTGGGGGCAGGGCTGACGGGTGGGTCGTTAGAGTAGTGGGGGGTGGGGGAGGGAGAGGTGTCAGGGGCAGCATCAAAGCGACTGAAAAAAAAGTGCAGTTCGTCAACTAACTTGTGGTCGTCAGCACAGGGGGGGGGCTTTGGGCTTGTAGTTGGGCCCGTAGGCCCCTCCAGACAGAAGCAGTATCGTTGTCACCAAACTGCTCCTGTAGTCATTCTCTGTGCCGGAACTTGGCTGCTTTCGGTTCTTTCCTGAACTGATATTTAGCTGCTTTGTAGCCGCTGCGGTCCCCCTCCCTGAAAGCAGACTCCTTTGCTTTTCTGATCTGCCGGAGTTTAGCAGTCAACCAGGGTTTGTCGTTGTTATAGATGACCCTGGTCCTTGTTGGAATGATGCTATCCTCGCAGAAGTGAATGTATGAAGTCACAGTGTCTGTGTATTCATCCAAACTGTCTGTGGCAGCTCTGAAAAGGTCCCAGTCTGTAGATTCCATGCATGCGTGCAGCTCTTCCACAGCTTCATCAGACCACACTTTGGAGCTCCTCACTGCAGGGTTCGAGAGCTTTAGTCTCTGTCTGTAAACAGGGATCAGATGTATCATGGAGTGATCAGAGAAGCCGAGGGCTGCCTTGGGAATAGCGCGAAAAGCTCCGCTTTTCCGCTTATTTATATTATGTCAAATAAACATATTTTTAAAAAATTCCAAACATTGAAATAAAAGTAAGACTTATTTCTAAAGTGGTGATGAGTTGCATTTTAGTCTTAATTCCCCTCTGTGGGACGAATAAAGGGGGCTTCTTCAGGTCCTGCTCTTCTCATTCTAGACTGCTCCTCTTCCTCGTCTTCTTGCTGCTCCTCTGCCTCCTCCTCTCTCTCATTCAAAGTCACTGCTCAGAAACTGAAGATTCAACTGGACTGGAGTCCTAGAAGGACAAGCAAAAAGATTTAGATGTCACCATTCTGGAATGTATGTTTTGTACAAACTTCATCCATGAAAAAATATTTTGAATTTATCAGAACAGTTGATCTTATAGTTTCATACCTACAGACAACTTGTGTAGTGTTACTAGCAGACTAGTGTCAGTAATAAACTAATAAATACCAACACTAATTAAAACAAAACGGTAACAGTGGTAATTACGCTGTATTTTCTATGAGAATAATAATGTTGCTAATGTTAGCTTGTCTTGGCTGCAAAATAAGAGTGACTTCACTGATTTATGTTTATGAGTAGTATATATTCTACAAAAAGTCTCATGCTACGCTAACCTTATAAGGCCCAATAAATAGATGATTTTTGCATGTCATAGAAGCATTTCTATCTGTGGAATTGTATTATTACAGTTAGGCTTACGTTTTCAAATACAAAATATACACTTTTTTGTTCCTCTTTCAAACGTTGTTAATTTGTGTGTGTATATAATGTGGCTTCAGGCTTTTGATGATTGTAGTGGAAATTCTAATGCTTCGAATGAATGAATCCAAGGAGCAACAGCTTGTCTTTGTGCAATTTATTTACAGAGGTGATGAATACAAACAAATAACATTTCTCTGCAGAGAAAGAGAGACTCAGGTCGAAGTTGTGCACGCGATGCTTGCACAGCTTCCCCCTGCCTCCCGCATTCCAACATGTTCATAATTATACTAGAGGCGTGAATCAAAGAACAATGAGCAGACGTCACGGATGGTGGGGGGCGAGATGGGGTGAGTCATGCACGGACAGGGGTAAGGAGAAGACAGGGAGACGGGAAGAAAGAAGATACAAAAGCACAGCGAGAACTTTTGAGATAGCACACCTGCAGATTGTGACAACTACAGAATCAAGGCTATGGGCAGAATGTCCCTTTGTGTTGAAGACAAGAGACCCTTTGTGTAATGTAAAAGTGAGTTATGAGAATACAATCTCCAGTCCCGGGAAACTGTTTAAATGTATCTGTCAGCTGCACAACACAATCTCCGATGCTGGGAAACTGACCACAACATTATTCACTTTGCTTTACATTTGCTGAAGTATCACATCTTGGAAAATATACACATTGATTTGGGTTAAATATACAAAACAGTAACATTTCTTACCTCTGTTGAAGTCATCCCCGCAAATCTGTAAATTATCGAGGACAGGACGATATCAGCTGTTTCTGTCTGTTTCACGTGCACGCGCCTCTCATTGAGGCTGCAGTTATACATATGGCCAGAGGGGGCTTCGCGAGCACAAACATTGCAAACTCAACATTGCTCCTTTAACAGTCAAATTCCCAAACCACACACAATACCATACCTTATTACACTCTCAATTACAGCATGATAAAAGTCAAGAGTATAGAATTTTGTATGTAGTGACTAAAGCAATGATATGAGGACTATTGGTTTTATAGGGAATGACATATATTCCGTTAAAAGTATGTTTCATTTTGACTGACTCAACAGAAGCAAATGATAATGTTATAAAACAGCAGAGAATTCTATGAAAGTAACTGATACATCATCCAAAATCATTTGAAATTTGTTCAAACTGCCACAATGATGTGCACCAATGACTCAATGTTGTAGAGGTTAAACTAATAGTTGTGAGAACTTTAAGTCTGATCTGAGAAACTTACCAAAGCGATTGAGAAAAACTGTTATTCACTTAAGTTGTAATGCATGAACTAATTTGTGTTATGTTGTAATGTTTGCACTGCATTTTACACCTTGCCTTGAAACTAGCTGTATAGCTAGTACGGACACATCTACAGAAATTTTGATTGATGTGTACTGTTCCTATTCAAATAAAATAATAAAGAAAAGAAATGCATTTGATTTGTATGTATGTAAAACACTGAGTAGCAAAGTTCCAGTGTCATGAAAAAGGTTCCTCGTTTGATTGACCCAAAGTGTAGATCTTTCCTCATGTAAGACAGTGCTGGTGTTTTGTAATACCGCTGCTGTGTGCTATGAACCTCCTTGTCTGTTGCAGCAACTGGACTTGGCCTTCATGCACTCAGCCTTCACCCCGCTGCTCTACTGCACTCTCGAGGGTGCTTAGAATTATACATCACCATCTAGGGCCATAGCCATCACCATCTCCTTAATAGAACTGTAGTGGAAAATGGGAAATTTCAATGTTCAGAGAATGCAGGTGTAAGAATAATTCTAATTCCTGCTTTTTCTTTCTTGAGACACTATTTGCACGCTTCTTTTCTTTGGGTATGATGACGGCTATTTGATTAATAAATGGCCCCTTATGTCTTGTACGCTCGCCAAAGCCCAGCCTTTGAGGAAGTGAAAAAAATGAAGGAAAGCCAAAACATATGCATGTAAAACATAGTTGTAAAGCTTCACAGGCTCTATTTACCTGCAAAAACTATCCACCCCACTTTCTGACCACTCTGTGCTGAATCTCTCCAGAACTACTGATTTTATGTTTATGTTTGTGCAGCTGTATTTGTCAAAATTATTTGTGATCACTCCAACAAACACTGATTGACATTTAGGTTGGAACACGAGGGGCTGCCGGTGGGTATGCAGGGACAAAGTAACACTTTGGCCTTCAGTATACAGTGCAAAGTGCCGTTCTCTTCGTCTGGGTCCAATTATTTGTCATCGCTGTCAGCAACCGAGTCACCTAGCCAGGAAGTGTGATTTTTTTTTTCTCACTGTCTCTCATAGTTGAGATATACCCATGATGAAAATTATAGGCCTCCCCCATCTTATTAAGTGGGAGAACTTAAACTAAATATTTTTTTCCCAACTGTAAGTCTTCACCCTGAGTTGACATTCTACTGTCACTGAACAGCTGCAGTCGTGGATGAAAACTTTACACAAAAAGCTGTGGTAGCCTAGTGTAAGAAGGAAGAGAAACAGAAACTTAACAGAGACCTTGCGGTAGTTGCTGGAGTTAACATTAGCGCCTCCAGCTGGACCAGAGTTATACTCCACTGCATTTGGACTGGCCTCGTTGAAAAAGAAAACCCGGGCCACTTTGCCAAGTTTATTTGGGAAAACCTATGTGACCGTGCCCTTAGACTAATGCTTATTAACAAATCTTTTTTACACAATAGCACTTTTTTCTTTTCAAAATCATGAAATGCCAAAGTGGAGGTCAAAGCTTTCATTTATGTATATATATATTCATTTAGGTATATATATACCTTATTTATTATTAAAATAAAGGGCAGAATCTAAAAATCTGTCAAAACCTCAGTGTTAAAAGGACAGTATGCAACATGTTCAGACAGAAGACTGAGGCCGAGTTTACACGGAGACAATGTGGCAGTAAAACGGTATAGTTGGATGTCGGTTGCTACCAAGCGTTCATACGAAGACTGTGTTCCAGGGGGGTCAAAACGTAAGTGTTCAGATCCAGCCTGCAAAGTGGGACAACTCAGATACGCTGCACAGCGGGGAGCTCTTTCACACCCACGGGAGGAGGGAGAAAGGTGTGAAATCCCCCTCTGCTCTGACACCCACCTCCGCGCTGCTCCCCGGACATAAATTTGGACATGCGCAGTAGCGGAGAACAAACAAAAGCAACAATGGCGCCGCGCGCACTAACTAGCTACGTGGGTTTCCAGCGCGGGACAGAGGATATTCCTACTCCTTCGTTCGTCCAAACGAGACTACGCGAAGCTCCAGGTTCAGTTCCCATGTTCACAGCTGCTGTTAAAATGCAGAATGATGTTGGTACTTTCTGAGGGTCTGGCACAGGAAGTGAATAAACTGCCAGGAGGGGGGCTGGGGGTCGTGTGTCGTGTTGTAAAGTTTCTCTGCCCACTACTGGCCGGGCGCTAGAACTGCATTGTTTTTCAACCTCATGTGAACGTTGAGAAATTTGCATTAGGAGCCAGGTCGTTTCTGTTAATAGCCTGGAAACTTCTGCGCAGCGTCTCAGTATAAACAGGGCCTGAGGCACTCAAAAGTTGCAAAAATCTTTAAAAGCTTTCATTACATCAAGCATCACTGCATGAAAAGTTAGATTTTCGTCATCCTAAACGGCAGGAAATCACCCTCTTTTTCGGCTATTTCAGGCAGTTTACAAGACGCGCTGTTAGGGTGCCCTGTGCTCCAAACTGCCGCATCCGTACCATGCTAATGTCCCTACTTTGCATATGAATGCAGCGAAACACTGCGGCCGACCAAGCGCTAATGGCCCTAATTAGCATATGAATGCAGCGGCTGGCAAGGCTGCTTCAAAACACTATTCAGCATTGGCGGATACCACTACTTTCAAACTCGTGATTGGCTGAAAAAAATCACACGTGGCCAGCCCACGTGAGATTACTCCCCATTGGTAGCTTACTCCCCATTGGATGAAATCGCTACTTTCAAATAAGTATAATTTCTCGTGATTGGTTGGCAGATCTGTCACTATTGGTCACCCTGCCTCATAATTAATGCAATAATATTCATATAAACATGTATTTATTCATATTATGCTGCATATATTTTATCCTATGTAGGCTACTACACTCCTCCTGTGGACTCACCACCTGCAGAGGGTCAGTGAGGGGCTGGTGCTATGAGACTTGGGTGGCATCTCTGATTGCCAACCCCCTGACCCAGAAATGGATTAAAGGGTAGAAAATGGATGGATGGATGGCTACTACACTATTAGGCCATCAACGACATAAATGAATTTATAGAGGAAATGAAAATTTCTTCATACAAAGAAAGGTTTAATAAAACACACACACACACACAGCTATCTGCCCACACAGAGGTAATTAAAAAATCACAACTCTGAACTGTCCAATCGCCTCCTCGGGGTTGTAATTTGGCAGCGTTCTAGATAGACGCTTAATGTGCGTGGCTCTGTACTTCCGCGCCGCCTCTAACCGGGACTGCAGCTTTACACAGAGTTCAGAAAACTCCGGCTTTCGAAAAGACGGCGACCGCACAATCCACCCAGAGACGCCTTCTTCATTGGACATTAGGTCTACCATGGCGGACTTCCAGACTTCCACTTTGTCACTTTCTAGCACACTCAGTCTCGATTCCAGCAGCTGAAAGAATCAGTAAATATTATTAGCCACATCAAATCCTTTTTCCCATCTAAACATTGCCAGGATCAAAAACAGTGTCTAAAGCAGACCTGGAGATTCTTATCCATGCATTTGTCTCCAGTAGGTTAGACTACTGTAACAACAGCTGCAGTACATTCAAAATGCAGCAGCTCAAGTCCTGACCAGAACCAGGAAGTACGATGGCAAGGCAAGTTTATTTGTCTTGCACAATTCATACACAAGGCAACTCAAAGTGCTGAACAAAATAAGAAAGCATTAAAATAAATAATCACAGTACATAAACAAAGATAAATATAAAATCCCTCAGTTGTATGCAGACCTAAACAGAACTGTCTTTAACCTGGTTGTAAACCTTTTCAGAGAGGAGGCCTGTCTTAAAGTGAGACAGGCCTCCACTGAGGGATTTTATATTTACAGCAAAAGTATTCAACCCCCTTGAACCTTTCAACATTTCGCCACATTTCAGGCTTCAAACGTAAAGATATAAAAATTTAATTTTTTGTCAAGAATCAACAACAAGTGGGACACAATCGTGAAGTGGAACGAAATTTATTGGATAATTTAAACTTTTTTAACAAATAAAAAACTGAAAAGTGGGGCGTGCAATATTATTCGGCCCCCTTGCGCTAATACTTTGTAGCGCTACCTTTTGCTGCAATTACAGCTGCAAGTCGCTTGGGGTATGTCTCTATCAGTTTTGCACATGGAGAGACTGGAATTCTTGCCCATTCTTCCTTGAGAACCAGCTCGAGCTCAGTGAGGTTGGATGGAGAGCGTTTGTGAACAGCAGTCTTCAGCTCTGTCCACAGATTCTCGATTGGATTCAGGTCTGGACTTTGACTTGGCCATTCTACCACCTGGATACGTCTATTTGTGCACCATTCCATTGTAGATTTGGCTTTATGTTTTGGATCATTGTCCTGTTGGAAGATAAATCTCCGTCCCAGTCTCAGGTCTTTTGCAGACTCCTACAGGTTTTCTTCCAGAATGGTCCTGTATTTGGCTCCATCCATCTTCCCATCACTTTTAGCCATCTTCCCTGTCCCTGCTAAAGAAAAGCAGGCCCAAAGCATGATGCTGCCACCACCATGTTTGAAAGTGGGGATGGTGTGTTCAGGGTGATGAGCTGTGTTGCTTTTACGCCAAACATATCGTTTTGCATTGTGGCCAAAAAGTTCGATTTTGGTTTCATCTGACCAGAGCACCTTCTTCCACATGTTTGGTGTGTCTCCCAGGTGGCTTGTGGCAAACTTTAAACGAGACTTTTTATGGATATCTTTGAGAAATGGCTTTCTTCTTGCCACTCTTCCATAAAGGCCAGATTTGTGCAGTGCACGACTCATTGTTGTCCTATGGACAGACTCTCCCACCTCAGCTGTAGTTATCTGCAGTTCATCCAGAGTGATCATGGGCCTCTTGGCTGCATCTCTGATCAGTCTTCTCCTTGTTTGAGATGAAAGTTTGGAGGGACGGCCGGGTCTTGGTAGATTTGCAGTGGTCTGATACTCCTTCCATTTCAATATAATTGCTTGCACAGTGCTCCTTGAGATGTTTAAAGCTTGGGAAATCTTTTTGTATCCAAATCCGGCTTTAAACTTCTCCACAACAGTATCTCGGACCTGCCTAGTGTGTTCCTTTGTCTTCATGGTTCTCTCTGCGCTTTAAACAGAACCCTGAGACTATCAAAGAGCAGGTGCATTTATACGGAGACTTGATTACACACAGGTGCATTCTATTTATCATCATCAGTCATTTAGGACAACATTGGATCATTCAAAGATCCTCACTGAACTTCTGGAGTGAGTTGGCTGCAATGGAAGTAAAGGGGCCGAATAATATTGCACGCCCCACTTTCAGTTTTTTATTTGTTAAAAAAGTTTAAATTATCCAATACATTTTGTTCCACTTCACGATTGTGTCCCACTTGTTGTAGATTCATGACAACAAATTAAAATGTTATATCTTTATGTTTGAAACCTGAAATGTGGCGAAATGTTGAAAGGTTTAAGGGGGCCGAATACTT